AAAGATACTAAATGAGTATTTCACATCAGTGTTTTCTGTAGAGAAGGAAATGGAAGTTAGAGAACTTGAAGAAATAAACAGTGATGTCTTGAAAAATGTTTATATTACAGAAATGGTGGCGCTGGATGTTTTAAAACGCAGAGGTGGAAAAATCCCTGGGACTGGATCAGGTGTACCCTAGAACTTCATGGAAAGCTAGGGAGGTGATTGTTGGGCCCCTTGTTGAGATATCTGTATCAATCATAGCCAGGAGTGAGATACTGGAGAACTGGAGGTTGGCTAACGTGGTGCCATTATTTAAGAAAGATGGTAAGGAAAAGTCAGGGAACAGCAGATCTGGGAGTCTGGCATCAGTGGTGGGTAAGTTGTGGGAGGTGTTTCTGAAAGATCAGATTTACACGCATTTAGACAGGCAAGGATTGATAAAAATGGTCAGCATGGTTTTGTGTGAGGGAAATCATCTCTCACAAACTTGATTGAGTTTTTTGAGGAAGTAACCAAGAAGATTGATGAGGGCAGAGCGGGAGACATCGTTTACTTGAAGGTTCCACATGGTAGACTATTTAGTAAAGTTAGACAACATGGAGTTCAGGACAAGTGCCCTCATTGGATACACATGGTACAAGACAAAAGAGTGATGGTAAAGGGTTGTTTTTCAGACTGGAGACTTGTGACCAGCGGTGTTCCAAAGGGATCAGTGTTGGGTCCACTTTTGTTTGTCGTTTATAGACGTGATTTGGATGAGAATTTAGATGGCACGGTTAGTTCTTTTGTGGATGACACCAACATTGGTGTTATAGTCGACAGGGAAGAAGTGGGCCAATGGGCTGAGGAGTGGCAGATGGATTTAAATTTTGATAAATGCGAGGTATTGCATTTTGGTAAAATAATAAGGGCTGGACTTATACAATTAATGGTAGGGCCTTGGGGTACTGTTGTAGAACAGAGAGACCTAGGGGTTCAGGTACAAAATTCTTTGAATTTTTTTATAATTCATTCACGGGATGAGGGTGTCACTGGCCATGCAGCATTTATTGCCCATCCCTAATTACCCAGAGGGCAGTTAAGAGTCAACCACGTTACTGTGGGTCTGGAGTCACATGTAGGGCAGACCAGGTAAGGATGGCGGTTTCCTTCCCTAAAGGATGTTAGCGAGCCAGATGGCTTTTTCCGGACAATCGACAATGGATTCACGGTCATCATTAGACTCTTAATTATTAAAATCTGCCATGGTGGGATTCGAACCCAGGTCCCCAGAATGCTACCTGGGTCTCTGCATTAACAGTCCAGTGATAATACCACTAGGCCATCGCCTGCCCTACGTTTGCATCACAGGTAGACAGGGTGGGTAATAAGACGTTTAGCACGCTTGCCTTCATTGCTCAGGTCTTTGAGTACAGGAGTTGGGATATCATGTTGAGGTTGTACAGGACATTGGTGAGGCCTCTTCTGGAGGCCTGGTAGCCCTGTTGTAGGAATGATGTTAATAAACTGGCGAGGGTTCAGAAAAGATTTACTAGGATGTTGCCAGGAATGGCGGATTTGAGATATAACAACAGACTGGAAACACTGGGGCATTTTTTTTCACTCGAGCGTTGAGGAGTGATCTTATAGAGATTAATAAAATTATGAGTGGTATAGATAAGGTGAATGACAAGGATGGGGGGTGTTCAAAACTAGGGGGCATATTTTTAAGATGAGAAGGAGAAAAATTTAAAAAGGGCATAGGTTTTTTTTTAAAAAGCAGGAAGTGGTTTTTGTGTAGAATGAACTTCCAAACGAAGGGGAGCATGCAGGTATGATTACAACATTTAGAAGACATTTGGACAGGTACATGAATAGAAGTTTGGAGGCTTAGTTTAGTTTGGGATTATGTACAGCATGGACTGAAGGGTCTGTTTCTGTGCTGTATGACTATGACTCGGGTCAGGGATCCGCTGGCTCACATCCCTAATGTTTGATACCGGATTTCCGGAATTTGAACGTGAGCCAGTGTCTGGGACGGGACTGGGGGTGTTGCGGGGAATGATCCAGTTTAGTTTCCCTCTGTCAGCCCAGGCTTTCACAGCTGACTAACCATCCTCCTCGTCGTCATCGTCCTCGTCCACTATCTCCTGCACGTCATCATCATCTTCATCGTCCTCTTCCTCATCTTCGTCCTCGTCCACAATGACCACTGAGTCATCCCCATTCTCTTCATCACTGCAATAGGAGGGGCACAGCATCAGAGACTGGGAGGAGAGATGGGGGGGTGGTAAAGAGAGTCAGGGGACGGGGGGAGCGGTTGAGCTGCAGTCCAGTACAGCCCTGAGGAGAGGTAGGGAACTTTTCTTTTAAAATGTGGTTATACATTCAGGGCACAGGAGAAAGAAATACCGCATGAATCTACAATGTGGGGCACTGCCCACCCCTTAAAACCCACAACCCAACCTCTCCCTGCAGCAGCAAGTCCCACATTCTCCCCGGTCTCCGGCTGAAGAAGTTTCACCACAATTTCTGGACGGATTTTGTTAGCGAATGTCTTATACCAGGCCCTCCCCAACCTTGTTCTGCTCTCTCTCTTGCAGGGGAACACGACCTCCCTAGGCTGCTGGGGAGGGACACTCCGGCCTATCTCAGGGGGGTCTGTACTAGTTCTCTCCTGGGCACAATAGCTTGGGTTTTTACAGACAGACAGAAAGGCAGCGGTAGGTTTTTCTGCTCACCTGTCGTCCAGTCCGTTTTCCCCACTCTCGCTCTCAGCAATCAGGAAGTATTGCAGAGGGTTTGGCCACATATCGTCCTTTAGTACCTGAGAAATGGGACAGAGCAGAGACGCCAGTGAATATCTAAGTGTGTGTGTGTGTGTGTATGTAAGTAAGTTGGGGGGGAACAAAGGGAAAGAGAGAGATGGATGGAGAGGGTGGGGAGAAGACAGATGGAAAGATGCAGGGAAGTGGGTGATAGATAGCCAGAGTGAAAGAACACAGCAATCAAATTCAGCTGGAAGTATGTGAACGAGTGCGAGAAAGGGACAATGTGAATGAGGGTGTCCACACGACAGCGGTATCAGCAGCGCCATACACCACTAGCACAGTTACAAGGTTTAAAACTGTAATTTCAGACAGCGCTCTCACAACCCCCTGTGCTCTCTCTGGCGGTGAGAAAGCAGTCAGATTCTTTATTTTGACATAGGAACCACCCCGAGTTCACCCAAATCTCATGGTGTGGCCACGTCTCAGGAACTCCCCCTGCTACACCTTGAGGCGTGCTGCCTGTAGGTAGCAAAGCACACAGACACAGGAGTGCGATACCTCAGCAATCTCATCAGTGGTGGGGTTCCGGTGCTCGGTGAACCAGGAGAAGAAACTGCGATGGCCTCGCTTGCGTCCTTTTTCATCCAGGCCTTTACTCAACGCCGTCAGATCCATGCCCTTCTTCCATTTGATGGGGGTGGACTGGGACACAGGCTTCCCTACAACGGACAGTACAGACAGACAGCATATTCAGGGCAGGGACAGCACAGGGTTAGATAGAGTAAAGCTCCCTCGACACTGTCCCCCCCATCAAACACTCCCAAGGCAGGGACAGCATTGGGTTAGATACAGAGTATAGCTCCCTCTACACTGTCCCCTATCAAACCCTCCCAGGACAGGGACAGCACAGGGTTAGATAGAGTAAAGCTCTCTCTACACTGTCCCCCAACTCCACCATCAAACCCTTCCAGGGCAGGAACAGCACAGGGTTAGATACAGAGTAAAGTTATCGCTACACTGTCCCCCACATCAACACTCCCAGGGACAGGGACAGGGACAACACGGGGTTAGATACAGAGTAAAGCTCCCTCGACACTGTCCCCCACATCAAACACTCCCAGGGACAGGGACAGCACGAGGTTAGATACAGATTAAAACTTCCTCTACACTGTCCCCCCATCAAACACTCCCAGGGACAGGGACAGCACCGGGTTAGATACGGAGTATAGCTCCCTCTACACTGTCCCCACATCAAACACTCCCAGGGACAGGACAGGGTTAGATACACAGTAAAGCTCCCTCTACACTGTCTTCTATCAAACCATCCCAGGACAGGGGCAGTTAGGATAGCACTTGCTCCTGTGAATTGTGCAGCGCACACACATCACGAGAGACCACAAACTGTGAACATCGTTCTCATTGGTGACCCAACTATTATCACCATTCGAAAACTTCCAACTGCTCTCCCCCGCCTCACCGCCTCTGTCACCTCCTGTGGGCCCTGACATCACCTCCCGTGGGCCCTGACATCACCTCCCTACCTGTCACCACCTCCAACCCTCTGAGATCTTGGTGCTCCTGTGATCCCGGCAGAAGCTCTGGGACTCCCTCCCTAATAAACGTGAAGCGCAGTGTGGACAGACTCCTGCACCCCCAGCCCAACCACCACCACTGACTCCCCTCTCACCTCCGGTTCCCAGGTGGAATTCTTTGATGATGAGGTTGTTCTCAAAGTAAGGGTTCTCGCCGAAGTGGAACTTAATTCTGTAGCCCGACTTGATGTCTTCAAATTCTTCGACCTGGGGGGTTTTAAAAGACAGCTGGGCGGTAACAAACCGGCTCCAGGGGCCACAGGAAACAGAGGGGGGTGACCGACGGATTGACTGGTGTAGTGCACTTGGTGAACTGGCACAACGGGACTGACTGGGAAGGGGTGTGCGCTGGCCAGGGTCGTCTCGATGGCTCTCGTCCTATTGATACTGAGCCCACTGGGTTCTGTAGTGAAGGAGAAAAGGACCTTACTTTCTAACCTTCTGAAAAGGTGTGGCCCAATTTTTTTGGGAAAGGTCAGAAAGTCTTTTGTAACAGGGAATGCAAAACAGCATTGGCAAGGTCCTGTGACATTTTAAGCTCAAAGACAAGCAAACATCTGGAGGGGACAGATGATTGTAAAGGATTTACTGACTTGAACTATCCTACCAGGCTGGAGAGCGAGAGCAAGCGCAAGCATGAGAGAGACAGAGACGGAGACGGGGAGCTGGGAAGAGATCCAGCGATACTTAGGAATTGATGAGAAGTCCAGGAGGAAAGGCTGTTGGAGAGGTGTCAGTGAGAAAAAGACATCCTACAAGCTTGGTGAAGATGTGAATTCAGGAAACCCATGTTAGGCAATAAGTGAGCTCAGTTAGCAGTCCATTCTAAGGGTCACGAGGAGATACATTAAATAAAGAAACAGCATTGAATGACAGAGATTTGCCAAAAGGAAACTCGGTCAGCTCAGTCGGAAGCTTCAGTGCAGACACTCCACTGAGGTTGGAGTACCTGTAAGGTTATTGCTGGGGTGAAAAGGTGAACTTTACTGTCTGATGTTTGTTATGAAATCGTGACAACAGTTCTCCTATTATCACTGCCATTTCTTTCCTGTATCATAAACATTTTATGTTCAATTGCTGACCATAATTGTGAAGACACCACGCTAAACAAGTATGAAAGTGACGGTCTACCAGTCTGGGTCTCACTCTGGGATCAGACCGTTCAGTATCTGCTAGGATCACAACAGATCAAAACAGCAGGACTGTTTGATGGGAACAGAGCAGACGGATCTTTACTTTCATTGAGGAAGCTTTACTTCACATCTGACCCTGTGCTCTCCCTGTCCTGGGAGTGTTTGATGGGAGAAACAGTGTGGAGGGAGCTTTACCAAGTCCTGTGCTAGATCACAGATGCCTGCAACAGCTGAGAGGTGAGGGGCTAGGGAGGTTGTCAATCTCTGCAGAGACAGAGACTGAAACCCGGGTGGGCACAGCAAACGGACTTGTGTGAACAAACTGTCAAGCCGCAGCCAGGACGGGGCACAATGTACCCACATTCTTACCTCCAGCCTCGTCATGTAATTAAATGCCTCCTCGTCATTCTCATCAATGAGAGCCGAGAGCTGCGGGTGGTTGAGGAACTGACAGAGTGAGAGTTAAGGAAGGAGTTCCACACTGCAACCTGCTTGGTTCAATCAACACCAAACATCAGGCAGATAACGAGGTGATCCATTCTAGGGTACCCCTCCGAAACGGTCACACTGAGCCACCGTCGCAGGGTCAGCGCCGAGGAATTGCGATGTGGGAGGGTACAACCATGTTGCAATGCGGGAGGAAGTGGTTCTGCAGCAGCACAACAACCGCAGTGCCCAGGAGGATGCAGACATGCCACGATACAAGAACTGCAGCTACCTGGCAATGCCAGGAGCCCAGCGCCGGGAGGCCGCGGCTACCTGGCACCCCAGTGCCGGGAGGGTTGCAACTATCCCTGCAACGCAAGGAGTGCAGCGCCGGCACGGTT